CCCGCCACCCAGGCGTTCTTCAGGCAGACTCGGGCATCTACAGAGACAAGAAGAGCATCATTCGCCTGTACATCCACGAGACACAGCGAGTCTTTCATGACAGGCTCATCAACAACGAGGACAAACTCTTCTTTCACTCCATCATGGCTGAGATGGTCTCCAAGCACCTCGGCGAGGTGAGACGAGTACAGACACCATGTGGGTGGTTAATGGTTGGGTGGTTGGCGGGTGCTCTGTTGGCTCTGGTGAAGTTTGGTTTGCTCTTTCTTTTCCAGTCAGACATAATAACTTTTATATCGTCCTTATCTCTCCTCTTTCTGTCTCGTGTTTGTTGCTCTCTGGTCACACCTGTAATCTTCTGTACTCATAATATTATCACATTATGTTTGAAATATAGAAAGACTCATACAAAAACTAAAAGCAGAAACAAAGACACAAAAAAAGAGAAAGAAGAAGCACATGTGTTGACATTTATTGGTGTTGTATGTTCGTTCTTGGGTGCTTTAAGACTTTTTCAACTGACGCCGGTATTATAACTGTTAGTTGCTCTCGTCTTTGCACTCATAAGATCTGAGTTCAGTTCTTCCTGTGTGTGTGCGTGTGTGTGTATGTGTGTGTGTGTGTGTGTGTGTGTGTGAGTGTGTGTGTGTGTGTATGTGTGTGTATATATGTATTGGTGTATGTGTGTCTGTGTGTGTGTGTTTGTTTTGTAAAACATCAAACCACTTGCGGGTAGTTGGCAGGTGCTATTGTATGGTTTGCTCTTTCTTTTCTGTCAAATATCTGTTGTCCCTTTCTGGTCTCTTTTTTATGTTACTCTCTCGTAATACCTCTCGTTCTCGATACTTATATGACCTAATTGTGTTGCAAGAGCCATAAAACTTGCTGAATCTAAAACCAAATCCGTGTGCCAGTGTCTGGACAAAACAGATTAATCTTATCTGATCTTGAATATGCTGTTCTTCTTTTTCATCCCATTGTCCTCAGTCTTTCGAGCCCAGCTCTTTCGTGACGTCACCAATCCTGTTCGGGAATTTCCTGAAGCAAGACGCGGAGCCGGAAGACAGATACTATGAGGAGTTTACAGACATGGCAAAGTTGAAGAACGTGCTAGGAGATGTGAGTGCGCCCTAGTTTAGTAATAGGAAAGTTTGTGCATAGGTTTTTACGTCCCTATCAACATTATTAGGGTATTTTTAAGAGGCCGGACCTCCGAATTTAAAGTCCGAAAGGTTCGAGTATGCTTCTTCCCTCGTTACAAACTTTTTCACAGTCAATTCTTGAACTTGAAGTATTTTTTTCCCTTGCTGACTGTTTCATTTTTCGATCTCTTCTTTTCTTTTTCTTACCATTGAGACTGCTAGTTTTGTCCACACAAAAAACTACAACCATAATACTAACCCATAAAGAGACCACGGGAATAACTGCCCATTGAAATCAAAATAGGCTTATAGCTAATGAGTTTGTCAGTCGGAAAGGGGAGGTCGGTTTGTTCCAATAGGCTGGCCACAGTAAACTTGCCAAACTGTTATAAGGGGTGCCCATTACGGATGCCATCAGGTCGGGTCGGGTCGGATCGGGTCGGGGGCGATCACCCCATTCGTCAGCTGAAAACATGCGCGTTTGTTTTTGAGGCGACGAGTCGGGCGAGATAGGCTTGTACCGCGTAGCCGCTTTGCGCCCTCAATCTGGCTGGCAAACCACCCCGACCAGACTCGATCCCCCAATGGGTACCCCGTTATAAACACGACCGAGCCCGCCCACACTGGCAGTGGCAGAGAGGAGAGGCTGAGCTTGCCTGGAGGCTAATTCAGGTCCACTCCTTGCGTTCGTGGGTTTTTGGTCATCCAGCTGTCTTGTGATTGCCAAGCGAGGAGAGGCTGGGTTTGTCGGAAAGTTGTTCTGTCCACTCCTTGCGCCATGGTGGCTCGGTCCTTGAGTCGTCTTGTGATTGCCTTTTCATTGGCTGCCAGTACAGTAATCATAATAATTTAGATTATAACCTGTCCAGTTGTGGGTCAGAAGAAGAACCCCCGATTTTGAAAGGGTTAGACCAAACTGGAACGGAAATGAGTAGTCTATCGTTGACCATTCCCCGCCATTCTTCAGATAGTGCTAAATTGGATAAGTGTGCCCTGGTTGTTACTTGTTTTCTGTTTGGATTTCTTGTTTTTTGCATTGTTTGGGGGGTTTTTGGTATTGTTTGTTTGTTTGCTGTTGTTGTGTGTGTGTGTGTGGTAGCCTATTCGTTCGAAATGTTCGGAGCCCCGAAGAGTGTGCTCTTCGCCAGGGCCACCGCCTCCCTTGGGTAGCAGGTGAGGCAGTCCAACC